TTAGATCCCGCTCCCCCTGCTGCCCTGGCACCATCTTGAGGGGCACCCTGACTGCAGGTGTGGGTCAGGCTCTGAGCCCACGACCCTCTGCTTTCTCCAAGGGATGGGGTAGTGGAGGGCGGCGAGGAAACCCAGGAGGGCTCCTTAGCAGACGAAGCTGTCTTCCTCTGTTCGTGCTGGAGGCCTTTCAGCCTGGCGCGGGTTGCCCACCCCGCCCCGCCCCTGTGTGGTGGGTGCCCCAATGCTGGCTGTCGGAGGGGGCCCATGTCAGGTCCTAGCGTGGGGGCCTCCCCACTGCACAGGGCCTTTCTGTGAGAAGGCAGCCCTGGCTTGACCTCTTCGGCACCTCCCCACACCAGGGTACCCCACGTCCACTTCGTTCTCAGGAGCCTGCCTGCGGGTTTGTGTCTGTGATGTGGCTCGTGCCTGGCTCCCTTCTGGGGTGTCCCGTAGGAAACTCACGCCTCATTGCGCCGGAGCAGGTGGAGCCTGCTCCAGCCTGCCTCAGCGCCTCCTGTCTTGGCTCTGCCTCTCCCCTGCCTTGCTGCAGTAGGTGGGGGAGGCTGGTCAGCAAGGCTGTTCCATCGCAGCCGTCCGATGGCAAAACGAGGTGTCCGGCTGGCAGCTGGCCTAACTCTCCAGGAGCAATTCTCTGTGAGTCTCCCTGCTTCTCCAGCTGCAAGGAGGAGGAGAGGAAGCCATGCAGGGATTCCGACTCTGCCCCTCCTCTCTCTTCCTGCCCCCTTCTGTGGATTGGAACGGGGAAGGGTGACAAGCTGCAGAGCTGCTTCAAGTAGCATGCTCTCCTTGGGGAGGGCATCAGGCTCCGACTGTTGCTCTTTGGGATATGGGATACTTAGCATCTTTTTTCTTAGTTTTGGGCCCTAATCACGAATTCTGGGGAAATAGGAATGTGCCCTCTCAAAGCACTGTTATGGTGGGTTTAGTGATAGATGCAAGGGAGGTTGATCCCAGAGAGAAACCCCCAGTATCTCCAGCCCCAGGACCGAGGGCCCCTGCGGTGCCCACCATCTGAGAACCCTGCTGGGCCTGCTGCCGCAGATGGGTCTGTCCTTGGGGCATCTACCCCAGGGCCAGGTAGGACCGCTGGGGACACACTCGTCTTCACTCCTCACCCAGCCTCTGTGTTGTATAAAAACACGGTCTAACTTCCCACCAGTAACCCCTGCCACGCTGGCAAAAGGTGGAAGTGGGATTTCTTCAAGGGGGGGTCTTTTCAGAGATGTGACCTGTAACTGCAAGTGGAAACCCCAGTCTTTGCAGTTCCCCCCATGCTCCGCACTGCCCAGTGTTTAGCAATTCTTTCCCACAGCTTACCATCTCCCTGTTAAAGGTGGGAGCTCTGCCTTCTTGAGATCCGGAGCCACGCTGGGCTGAGCAGAGCTGACTCCAGGATGTTGAGCTGATCTCCCTGAACACAAGTCCCTTCAAAACCCTTGCCTGGGCGGGGAAGGGGCCTACTGGGGACCAGGGCGGTGCTGAGAGCAGAGCAGGACCACAGGCTGGCTGCCCGAGGGCGGGGAAGCTCTGCGGCACTATCCTCAGGGAGGGTGTCGGGGAGGGCGGTGGGGTGTTGGCAGGGGTTGGTGAGGAGGCCCCGGAGGCCGCAGCAAGAGCCCGGCTGAGGGGAGAGAGTAGGGGTCTGTGTGGCCCTAGACACCTGTGATGTCAATTCCCGGGTGTCTCAGGACGAGTCTTGGACTGAGAGTCAGAAGATCGGCTTCTGTGGTTTAGCCACGGAGCCACCACGTTTGGCTTTGGGTGGCTCCCTTTGCGCTCACAGACCTAGATTCTTTCTGGCCCTACTGCGCACAGCTCAGCCGGCCTTGCATGGAAGGCTGCTGTGATTCAGGAAAGAGGGAGACGCACAAGGAGAGGGAGGGGTCCAGACAGGCTGAAGGCCCCGAGGGAAGAGGGGCTAGTGCCCCAAAGGGAGACGGGGCAAATACACCTTCAGCAAATGGGCCAGGTGTGGGAAGGCCCCCTTGGAGGGGATCCACATGATGGGGCCGATTAGCAGGAAAGGAAGAAGAAAATGAAGAGCTGGGATGTGCATGTTTAACGGGGAGATAAGATGCAGGTGGAGGGGGGCAGGGGGAGGGAGAAGAAAGGCAGGAAGTGATCAGAGGAGAGGCTGAGGGAGGCTCATGGCCCGGGGGGGGGGGGGGGGAGGGGGGGGGGGATAAAAGCCGTGGTGGGGGTGGAGGAAGAGGGGTGGGAGGAAGGAGGCACCTCAAACTGGAAAAACAAACTAGAAATAGGCTAACACGGCTCTGCAGGGCTGTTGGTGTTTGAGGTTTTCACATTTGTGACTAGAAGGTTTGCCGGGCAGTGTGTGGGCCATTTTCAGTCCAGAACAGATGCTCAGGAGGCTTGCGACTGCACTCGAAATCTGCTACTGAGACCCCAGCCCGGGTGTCTACGGAGTCTGGGCTCCTGGACGCGTCCCCTTGGGTGCCCCCGGCCCGACAACTCAGCATCCCTAAAACTGGACCCATCATCCCCACCCACCCCTCGTCAGTGCTGGGCACACCAGCCAGCCCCTCCCCAAGCCTGGAAGCCCAGAGCCCTCCGTGCCTCCTCCCTTCACTGTCCTTCCCTTCATGTCCCCCCTGGTAGTCACCGTGTCCTGTAAGGCCCCCTCCTAATTCTCTTTGCTCTGCTTTCCACCCGCGCGGCCACCATTCCATCAGCTTCCTGCAAGAGTCCATAGCTGTGGATGGCCTCTGGTCTCTACCCGCACCCCACCTCAACCACCCACAATGCAGACCGCTGGGACGGAGTTAAGTGAAAGGCAAATGGGACTGTGGTACTCTCCTTCTTAGAGTCCCTCGGTGGCGGGGGGGGGCAGGGAATCATGTCTCCCAACATTCATGTATTGAAGCCCTACCTTCCACTCTGACTGTATTTGGAGATGGTCCCTTAAAAGAGGTACTTAAGGGTAAATGAGGTCAGAATGGTGATCCAATAGGACTGGTGTCCTTATAAGAAGAGGAGGAGATGGGACGCCTGGGCGGCTCAGTCAGTGAAGCGTCTGCCTTCGGCTCAGGTCATGATCCCAGGGTCCTGGGATTGAGCCCCATGTTGGGCTCCCTGCTCCGCGGGGAGCCTGCTTCTCCCTCTCCTGCTACCCCTGCTTGTGTTCTCTCTCTTTCTCTGTCAAATAAATAAATAAAATCTTCAAAAAAAAAAAAAAAAGAGGAGGAGACACCAGAGAATGTGTCTGTGCAGAGAAAAGCTTACTTAGACGCAAGGAGAAAGTGGCCATTTGCAAGCCAGGAAGAGAAGCCAAACCAGAAACCAACCCTGATGGCACCTTGACCGTGAATGTCTAGTTTATAGTACTGGGAGAAGATAAATTTCTGTTGTTTAGCCACCCGCCTGTGGCCTTTTGTTATGGCGGCTAATACAATAGCTTCTGGGATAAATCCAGTTGCCTCAGTTTAGTCCAAGAAACTAAACTTCTTGGTCTGGTCGTGATCTTCAGCCCCTCCTCCCATGTACACTTTCCTGCAAAAACAGACAATCCCCTTGTTGTGCTATTGCCATGCTGTCCTGGCGTGCATCCGGTTAACCCTGCTGTTTCCACATCCCGTGCACTCTGCAAGTCGTATAAGTGACAATGCACTGTCCCACCTGCTACTCAAAGCTTTCACATTTCAGGTCTCCTCCCAGAACAACAGCAATGCCAATAACAACATAAATAATCACAAATCCACTATATGGCGTGATGCATAAATTACAGCAGTTATGTATTTTATCCCCCCCCCAACTCTAAAGTAGTATCTTAATTATGTAACTGAGTGAAAAACACAAGACGTAGTCAAGGTCACTCTGCTAGTCATATGAGAGCAGGACTTGAACCCAGATCTTCACAAATGAACCACTCTCTGCTCTCAATGGCTTCTCCCCACAGCATTGCTAAACTGCCTGGAATGGGTGCTCATCTGTCTTTATGGCTGATGATGCCTCATCCTTCAAAACTTGGTCCACCCCACACGATTCTCAATGCTTCTTCCTGAATGCTCCCAAACCACCCCGTTGTTACCTCAGCACAGCCCTGAGCTTTCAGAGGGGAGTTGGTTAAAACTGGAGTCTCTGTCTTAAGGTCTTTTCTTAACATATCATGGCGGGGGGCAGTCAACTAAAATCTTTGAGTTGGTGAAAAGATTTTCTTTTTGTCTGATTTAAAAAAAAAAAAAAAGAACTAAGAGTCAAACAAAAATATCCCCACAACAACAATAACTATTCTTCTTGTTCATGTTTGAAACTCTACCCGAGCATCACTTCTGTATGGAAAAATCCCCACCTTCTTTGTTCATTATGTGCTGCTTTAGAATCTAATGGTGCTACCTCCTACCTCCATCCTAGCACATATCCCTGCCTGGGTATAATCACTCATGTCTGCTCCTTCTGCTAGACTGGAGCCACCACCTTAAGGCTTAGAATATCTTGCAAACCTGAATGAGGGCAATTATAGTAAAGCATTTAAAGGGTGTATGAGAGATACTGAGATGTTTACATGGGAAGAATTATGCAATCAGCACGTTTGAAGGTAAAATTGGAGACACGAACAGGAAGACACAGAGGCTGTGTTTACAGAGCAGTATTGCTATCTGCCTATTTGACCATGTAATGAGATGTATATGATGAGAGGATTAGAAGGGGGAAGAGTAGAGCATAATGGTTTGGAACATCAGACTTCACTTTTAAACAGGCACCCGATTCACTTGGAGGGCTTGTTAACCACAGTTTGCTGGGACCCGTCCCCAGTGGTCAGGAGTCAGGGTGGAGCCTGAGAATTTGCATTTATAATAAATTCCCAGGTGATGTTGTTGTTGCTCATCTGGAACTATACTTTGGGAATCATTGGTTTAGAGTTTGGTTTCTAGAATCGGATGGATTCCAGTATACATTCTGGTGCTGCTAAGTAGTATTTGGGTGACTCTGAGCAAATCGCTTGTCTGCTCTGAGTCTCAGTTCCTTCACCTGTAAAATGGGGATAATAATCCTTTCTCACAGGGTGGCCATGATGATTCAGTGAGATCATGAGGTCAAGTACAGGGCACAGAGCCCAGTACAAAGCTGGGGCTTATTCTCTATGATCCCTCCTCCTCCCCCTCTTCATCTGCATCATCAGTGAACTTTGGTGCTGGAAGGAACCTGGAAAATCACCTGCTCTAATGTTTATGCATGAAAAATGCAAGACCAAGTAAGTGAAGTGGCCTCCTCCAGGTCAGACACCCAGCTTGTGGAAGAGCCAGAATTAGAATCCATTTTTTGTGACCCTTAACTTAGTATTCTTAAAAGCACTTAATATGATAATCTAAAGAGGGGTATGATGTACAGGAATGGAAAAGTCCCATTATCCATGGAAAAAGGAGTGTGTCTACTGCAATGGTGAGTAGTACATAATGTCAGTATCTAAAATGTAAGATGTTTATGGAGGAGGTTAATGAGATATATTTGCTGAGGCAGTGAAATCTGGTAGAAGAAATAGCATGGTGAGATGTGCCTTCCATTGCAAAAAAGATGTAATGAGGGGCTGTATTACAGGGAGTTAACTCCTTGAGGAGAAGCTAAGGGTGAAGGGACAACTTAATGTCAGTAGCAAAGCCATGTGGACTATCAGGGCAAGAAGGGGCAGGGGAGAGAGCTTCAAGTATGGGAGTCCCCACCTGACTTTGCTATGAACTAGCTGTGTGTCCTTGAGCAGTTAGCATCACCCTCTGGGCCTCCTCGGTGTTTTCACCGGTGAGTGCTTACTATCCGTCAGGCACTTTGCTAGGTTCGTTCTCTCATAAAATCATTGCAAGAACTCTCTATGGTATGCCAGAAATTGCCTGCCTGACTCTCTAGTTGTATTCTTTCCCCTTCTCCACCCACTGTCTGCTCTGCCACGGGAGGCTGGCTTGTATGAACTGCGTCATTGGAGCTCCTTTCCCCTCTGGATAACCAGGAGTCCAGCAGGAAATGAAGATGGGGAGTAGGAAGGGAAGGAAGACAAGGCAATTATTCTCCTGGTTCTTCTGATGCAGTTGACTTGGGCTGGTTGTGTTTTTTGACTGAAACTGCTCCCCTCTAAGAGGCTTATCTACATGACTCTCCTTCTCAGTTCCAAAAACCTCTTCTCCCCCGAAACGTGTGCCAAGAGGTGGTAACAGCTCCGCTGCTGCTGGTCCAGGTTTTCCAACCCTGTCCACACATTTGGACAATGTGTGATTTCAATGTTCCATTTGCTTCTATTGGGATTCTGACTGATACAGAATTGATGGTGGAAGTGGCCCCAGGAAACAAACTCATACGATGGGACTCTGGGTTTGGGTTGGTCATGTGTGAGCAGCCCAAGGATAACTTCCTTGATGAGGGCAAAGGGGACAATGGTAGCTCATGGTAGATGGTGGCATCATGATAACTCAAATTATCACTGAGGGTAGCATGGTAAAATGTGGAGGGCAAGGTGTTGGGAGATCGAGTGGTTCTAGCACCTAGGCACCAGGGCAATAACAGTGATTATAAAAAGTGTGGAGTCACTTGATTCTTTGTATGACCTTAGACATCATACATAGGAGAAAAAGACAAATTAAAAGCTGTGAATTTGCACGTGGACAAGTGGAAGTACCCCCAGGAAACTCTAAAGTAGTCCCTCCTCTCCTGTAGGCACTGGGAGGACAGGTTATGGACCAAGCCCAAGTCACTATGTTAAGTAAATGCTCAATACTATTAGTTCTCTTGAGGACACAGGTGGGGAAGAAACCAGGTGACATGTGACTTAAATTACCCATGGAGAACTGGTGCCTTACCTGAAAATCTATAAAATTAAGACTTGTAAGGCAGCATTCCATTATAAGATGGAAGGTACAGCTATCGAACCCAGGCCAGTCAGGTCAAGACAGTGCCAGTAAGCTGCAAAAACAGGTGACTTAGACTCCTGTACCTGCAGCTTTGCTGTCTATCCTTCAACCACACTACGGTTTCAAAGGGAAGTCCCTGTGATCAGTTAATAAATGAGGAAAAAGCACAAACCCAGTTCGGGAATGGATCAGCATAGCGTGCCAGCGCCAGCCAGAAGAAGACAGCGCCATGCTACAGCCCCACTTGGGTGGTCCTCAAAGACTGTGGTGAATGGAAATCCTCCCAGGGACAGAACATAAGGCAGTATATGTGATTGTCCACTTTGGCCTGAACTATGGATCTACACTGACTCATATGCAGTGGATAATGGGTGACTGGATCAGTGAGGCTTTGAAAGATACTCGTGTTTTACATGAATGCCATCCTAAAACCAATCATGGTGGTGGAGGCTCTCAGTAATCAAATGGATAAATTGACTCAGGCTGTGGATCTCAGTTGGCCTTTTCCCTAGTCTCTCTGATACTTGTTCAGTGGACCATGTATAAAATGGCCTTGGCAACAGAGATGGAGACCACGGTTGAGCTCGAGTACATTGGTCCCATCAACAAGGTTCATCTGGCTCATCCATGGATGAATGGGCAACCTGCTGATAGTAACTGGTAAGCCCTTCATATGGTACTGTATACCACAACGATCAGCTAGTTGCTTGGTATTAGGTTGATTACATTGGATCATTCCCATCATGGAGGAGGTAGCAGTTAGTCCTCACAGGGAAGGGACACAAATTCTGGGTGTGGATTTACCCACAAGGTTTCTGCTACCATCTCCATTTGTGGACTTCAGCATGCCTTATCCATTGCCATGATATTTTTCACAATATTGTCTCTGATCAGAGGCACTAGTCTTAGCACATTTCCCATTACTCAAAGGCAACTGGCTTGACATAATATTGGAATGACCTGTTGTAGGCTCAAAAACAGCACCAGCTAGGAGATAATGCCTTAAGTTGGGATACTATTCTACTGAGTGCACTTATGCTTTAAACTGGAGATCAGCATATAGTGCTGACTGCCCCTAAACTGAATACATAGGTCTGGAGACCAAGAGGTAGAGATGGGGGGAGGTGATCCTTCTCATTATTATGCCTAATAAACCCCTTGAAGAGTTTTGTTTTTTGTCCCAACAACCTTGGGCTCAGTAGGTTTGGAGGCCCTAATGCCCAAGGAAGAAATGCATCCACCAGAGAACAAAGTTATGGTTCTGATGGCTTGGAAGCTGAGCCTGCCCCTTACTCATTTGGGGCACTTTATGCCAATAAACCAATAAACAGAGAAGAAGATCACTGCACTGGTGGGGTGATTATCCTAATTGCTTGGGGGAAATTGGGTTGTTGCTACACAATGAGATAAAGAAGGACTATGTTTGGAATCTGGGGATTCATTGGGAGTGCCTCTTCATAGTCCCTTGCCTGAAAGAACTGGTCATTAAAAAACTAGAGCAATGCACCAAAATTCAGATTTTATGGGAATGAAGGTTTGAATCATCCCACCAAGTGAAGAACCTCATCCAGATGAGATGCTGGCTGAGAGTCTACCATCAAAATGGTAGAAATGGTAGCACCAATACGTGAAAAGCCAAAATGCAAGTACTTGAAGTCTTGACCCCACAGCAGGTGTCACATGGGCAAATGGTTACAGGGGCCAGGTGGGTCATGTGAATGAGAGAGGTGGGCTGGGTAGGGGCTCTAGTGAACTGAGAATATAAACCCTCTCTATACGAGGTGGTCACTTATCAGCTCCTTTGGATTGTTGTCACATGGGAATGCCCATACTGTATGGCCAAAGAAATCAAAGTCCACATTTTTACACAAAATATTTTCATTTCAAAACATTAACAATTATTCCATTAAAAAAAAAAAACACTTCACTGATCAAACACTTCAAGCTTCCTGGCCAACAGGTTTTTTTTTTTTTTTTTAAAGATTTTATTTATTTATTTGAGAGAGAGAGAATGAGAGATAGAGAGCAGGAGAGGGGAGAGGGTCAGAGGGAGAAGCAGACTCCCTGCTGAGCAGGGAGCCCGATGCAGGACTCGATCCCGGGACTCCAGGATCATGACCTGAGCCGAAGGCAGTCACTTAACCAACTGAGCCACCCAGGCGCCCCCTGGCCAACAGGTTTTAACTGCTGCCCTATGGTCATGGAAAGAGAAATTGGTTGAACAAGGATCCAAGCCAGAGGCGTTGATCATAGCAGAAGAACAAATAGTTACCACACAATGTAGAGCAACCCCATTCATGTAACGTGCAGTTCTAATAAAGGGGATTGGGGAGAAGTGGAGTGACAACCAGCTGTGCTGATGGGGTCAGGAAGAACCTGAGACACAGTATAAAGGACTAAGACTAGAAATCAGAATCTAAGGATTTTGAGGCACCAGAAGAGTTTCCCTTGGGTCACCTCCTTTCCAGATATTCAAGAAAGAATGATGAATTCCCTTTGAGTTTATGAGTAAAGGCTAATCTCATTTCTTATAAAGACAGTTTGATCCCCTGTTCTCTTCTGATAATGTCATAAATGTCACATGATTTACCTACTAGGGCAGTTTCCAGGAATCTTTTTGGGATACTCTTACCCAAGAAGATGTCTTTTGAATCACCTTCTCCCTGGGACCAGGGAATTCTCCATCATTAATGGTAGTTAGACTCCTCAACCCAGCTCACTTTACCATTGTGTAATTTCCCCTTTGGCAATTTCTACCAGTTTGGCTCTTAATGGGACATCAGTCCATTCAGCTGCCTCTAGAGGAAGCTCCTTGCTCAGCAAAGGATGGAGACATGGGGGGGGGGGCGCTGGTGGAGGAGGAAACTGACTGGGGATGAGAGGGCCAGTTGCTGGCTGGTTTCTTCTGCCTTCCCTCCTGGCCCCTGGCTGCTTCCGAGGGGCTCCTTCACTGGTTAGATCTGCCTCCTGGGGGCCTCATCTTTTGTTCTGGTGTAGGTCGTCAGAGGCCATGATATTCTGGGCAGAGCTTAGATTTGGAGTCAGAAGACTTGTGCTTGTGTCCTGCCTCAGATCTACGTGCTCCTGGCAATAATTTAGCCACTCAGGACTTCAGTGATAAAATAAGAATAATATCTACCTCTGTGGTTCTTCTCCAACTCAAATACATGTATATACAAGGCTTTTTATAACCCCTAAAACCTCACATAGACATAGGTCAGATTGCTCTTGGTCATTGATATTAAAAATATCTATCTTTAATCACAGAGGGGTTTGGCAGAAGCACATACTCATAAAAAGTTCCTTTTCTTGGAAAATAGAGTGGACACTGGGAAGTGTCTGCCCAGCCAGGTCCGTAATTTTCAGTCTCGTTTTCCTTTGGGTGGGATAAAGCGATTAGCACTTACTAATGGAACATAAGCAAAAGTAATGCGTATCCCTTCAGAGCCAAGGCAGTGAGAAGCGCGTGTGCCTTCTTTAATTTTCTTCCCGTCTGCCACTGAATGAAGAGCACTCCAAGGCCTCAGAGAGTGGCAGAACTGCAAAATGGAAGGAAATGGAGTTCCTGAACCCTCGTGTGGAAGAAAGCTGCCTGCTACCTGAGAACATTCTCACTGGATTATTGCAAGAGTGAGGGACAAACTTTCATCTTGCAAAGCCTCTGTGATCCTGGGGTTTATTTATTATAGCAGCTAATATTAGCCTCGGTAATAAATGAATCAAGGGAATGAGAATGTGTGGCTCAGTCAGTAAGAAGTACTGAAAATGAACATGTGCGAAAGGCTAGCAATGTCTTTTTTCACACTAACACACAGGCCGCAGGGCCAAGGAATTCCCAAAGGACATCTGCGACGCCCTGTCAAGTAGGTTGATAGGCAGTTTGATGTCACACGCACACACGCGCACACACGCGCGCGCGCACACGCACACAGGCACGCATACAAGCATGCACGTGCACGTGTCACTTTCGTATATGTATTCCAGAATGCCAGAGTGGAAGATAGAAGTAATAGGCCTCCAAAGCCATTCAAGAGCTTATTTATAGTTCAGGAAACTGAGTCAGAGCAGAGATGGAGCAGTGCGGGTCCACAGAACTAAGTAACGGCGGCCTCCAGAGCAGCACCCAGGTCTTCAGGTTCCCAGGCTCTCCTTCTCAACCCTTTTTCCTGTTCTCTCTGGTTTATCCCAGCTTCTCCCTTAACAAAGCCTAACATCTAGATAATCCAGAAATGACTCAAAAAGGGGGAATGAATTATAGGTCCAAATGGCTTTCATGACCTGGCATCTACCCTGTAATCAGCAAAAGGGCATTTTTTTCATTTTCGTCTTCGCGTCTGGCAAAGAACTAAATGAGCCTGTTAGCCCAACCCTTCTCCTTGCCTCCTTTTTGTGTTGTTCTGTGTCCCCTTGAACTCTATACCCCACCACACCAACCATCGTGATTCCAGGACGGCACCATATCCTGTTTCAGCGCTCTTACCAAGCCCCTTCATCAAAAGATTCTTCCTTCAAGATCCTACTTAAATGTTACATGCTCTGTTTTTCCCGATGCTTCCAGGATGAGTTAGTGTTTCCCGTGGTACCTCTTTATGGCATTCTTAGAGCACTCATGACATAGAACTGTAAATTTTATTTGTACCTTGGTGGTTCATATGCTTCATAGGCTCCTTCCCAACACTTGGCTTTTTGGGACGGGCAATAGTACATATAATGTCACCCCCTCCTCTCCTGAGTTGTTCAGACTGGGAGTTCAGACAAAGCTACCAATCCACAGGTACCCCAGCCACCATGACACAGCCTCCAACAGAGGATTCTGCCTTTCGGGAATGGCCCTTTGGGGATGGGAGATTGGTCACATTCTCTCCATTGAGAATTCACTCAGAGAAGAGGGACGTCCCAGGCAGTTGCGGGAATGGTGCTATGCAGTCTTGCCATGGTGGCAGGGCTGGTGGCCGTGCAGAGCCATGTGCTCAGCCACGTGTGGGACAAGCAGAGTGGAGGGAGCGTCTTGGGAGGGAGAGGAAGGGGCCAGGTCTGAGGGGAGACTGGGAGGACTGGGGGACTATGCCGTTTGGGGGAGAGGGGGAGCAGACTTGCAGGCTCCTGTAGCCAGCTGTGCCTTCTGTCTGGGGTTCCACAGGAACTCCCCACCAGGCCTTTGCCGCATTGCCCCCCTCTACTTCTTGGGCTAGGTTAATGGGTTTCTGTTTCTTGGAACCAAAAGAGCCTTGGTCAAGAAAGTGTTACCTCCCCCTCTGGACTGTGAGTTGCTTGAGGTCTTCCTCGTATCACCAGAATGTAGCTCAATGCACCAACGGTGTTCGAAATTGACTTGTTGCATGGATGATGAGTCAACGAACGAACGGATGTGCCTACTGGTAAGAGATACAGGGCCCTGTTTGCCTGGCGGGCCTCCTGCCCCACCGTGTCTTTCTGATACAGAAGCCTCTTTCCCCTAATCACTGCAGCTCTGCTGCTTCGGTCCTCCAGCATCCCAACGTCCAGCTTTTGACGGGTGGCATTTCCCTGAAGTATTCTTTTTGCTTTAAAAATACTGGGTCTGGAACACTGGCATCTGAGGGGACGCAGATGCAGACAGGAGATACAAATAGGAGACGACACTTTCACCTTAACCGCATCTGCTCCAGAGGAAACCCCAGATGGCCCCCTGGACCTTTTCCTGAAGAAACATGGAAGAAGCAAAGCTGTATTTAGAGAGATATAAGTATAGCTTTTATTTTTTTTTAACCAACCCAACATTTCCACTGGCAACTGTCAACATAGCTTATGACATGAGCACTGTTTCTTTTTTAGTTATTTTTTTCTTAAAAAAATGTGTTTAAAATTAAACAGGTGTTTTTTAATTTCTCTTTTTTCCCTTAAAAAATGTATTTATGTCAATGCAGAAAGCCTAAAGATCTGTGGGCAGTTTTGTGAGGACTGTGTATTTGTGTGTGTGCGTGTGTGCGCACAAGCGTGTGTGTTTTAAAGCCAGGGCCTTTCCAAATTTGTTGGGAAAAGGTCTGTAGGCCATGGCAATCTCTTTTTCTATAAACCCAGTCTCCGTGGGATGATAGCAACTAAGATTCTTCTTTACTGGGGCAAGAAATAGCCCACAGGCTGGAAAAAGAGCTTCATGAGGTTTAAAAACAAGCAGGAATGTGGGAGAGATGAGAAATTCCAGTTCGTACCTTGTGAAAATGCTTTCCAACGTGACCTGAGGGTCCAGGAGAGGTGGAAGGAGCCCCTGGTTTTCGTATCAACCTCTCAGTTTTTGCATTACCTCGAGAAATACAGTCAGACCTCTTAGTGTGGCGCATTAGAGAGTGAGGGGTTGGTGAAGCTGACATTTCTCCGAAGCACTGACATTTTAAATACAATCGTTTCCCTCCAAGATCTCATGAGGTGGACAGCTCTTCTCCTCGGCCTCGGATCCGAAGCCAAAGATACTCAAGAAGCCATCTATGCCTTTTGTCTCCCCAGCTGCCCTTTGTCATCAGGTACCAATCCTGTTTCTGTCCCCTATCTCCCATGTGGAGGGTCTTCCTGCAGAAGGATAAACGTATAGACACGGCCACAGCCGGACAGACGGAATAAACTGGAAAGGGCACAGAAGGGAACCATGACCTTTTGTTTTAAACTGGATTTCGACATAAGCATATAAAGCTCCTCCTGCCCCAGCGCCAGCCCCGGTTCTTCAGCGCTCCTCGTGGGTGTGCAAACACACTACCACCCGAACAACATCCCTCTCCCACTGAGAAGAAAAGCAGACTGGGGTGGGGGGTGGAGGACGGGCTGGAGCCAAGAGACAGCTGTTACCCGGGAGAGGGGGTGGGGGGAGAGGGGGAGAGGGAAGACGGGAAGAGGGGCAGAAGGGGAGAGGGGGGAAGGAGGGAGGGGGGAGAGGAGAGGGAGAGGGGAGAGGGGCAGAAGGGGAGGGGGGAAGGCGGGAGGGGAGGGAGGAGAGGGGAGAGGGGGGAGGGTGCGGCTGAGCGTCCTGCCTCTACCTGTCCACTCCCGCCTTGGGTTCCCTCACAGCACCTTTGTTAACTGACTTCAGAAAGAAAAGACAAAACCAACAATGAGGACACCTGATGGGAAAGCGAGCACAGTAATGGCCACGATGACGGCGGCCTGGGGGGGGGAAGGGGGGTTGGACTCACTTCCGCCCTCGCCAGCTGCGGCAGAGGGTGCGGAGGTGGCCAACCCGACGGACAGCGGGAGCCCGGCCCCCAGGGCAGCAGAGGGAGCAAAGGAATAATGGGAAGGCGGCGGAAGGGTCTGCGCCCCCTGTGGGTCAGGGACATGGGTGGGAAGATGCGGAGGAGGTGGATTTGTTGCTGTCGTGGTTTGTATTGAATTAAATACTTCGTAAAGTGGGTGTTTCCTCCACTCTGATTGGTTAAGACTCTGCCCTTTCAGTCCCACTGCGGGGGGGGGGGGGGGGCTGGGTCGGGGGTGGGGCTCCTGGGGCTCGAGTCCTGCCGCCGCCTCCGCGGGCTGCTCCCCGGCGAGGTCGCGGTGGCAAAGCGCCCTTCCCTTAGGAGAAGTCCGAGGCGTGTGCTGCGGAGGCCCCGCGCCGTGGCTCAGAAGCCCCTGATGTAGCAGTAGGCCTCCAGCGTGGCAAAGAGTATGTACAGGAGCCACAGGCTCACGAAGAGCCACGTCGTGGCCAGCTTGCAGCCGCGAGGGCCGCCCAGCTCCCCGCCCAGGTGCGGCCGCCGGCGGTACAGGAGCACGCTGATGCACACGAACGCGAAGATGGTGAAGAGGGTGACCGAGAAGGCCAGCGTGCCGGCGGACACGTAGAACGCCTGTCCCTGCAGGGCCCAGTAGATGGCGGCCACGGACCAGGCCAGACCGATGCCCAGGAAGACGTTGATGGCGTTGCTGCCTGTGACGTTGCCGATGGAGGCATCAGAATACGTATCTTGGATGGCGGCGGCTTTGCTGGCAAACATGTCTGGAAAAGGGAGAGACGGTGGGAGCTGCAGGGAGCCTGAGACGCGGAGGCTCCTCCCTCCACCCCCTCCCCCCATGTGTCCAAAAGGCAGCTGGGGCCCCAGGCCAAGCTCAGGAAGGAGAGGCAGGGGCTCTGCCATGAACGGGTTGTGTGACCTTAGACAGGTCACCTCACTCCTCCGGGCTTCAGGTTCCTCATCTGCTGGGGCCTGAATAAGGGCCTGTTGTTCCTGATATTTACTCAGGAGGTTTGCTGTTCCCTTTGGATTATTTTTTTCAATAAGGGGAGTTTGCTATCCCATGATGATCTGCCCAGGGAACCTCAGCATCCTGGGAAGCTGCTGAAGGTAAATGCCTGATTGTAACCATCACGTGGGGTATCAGCTCACGTAACACAGTCATGGGCAATGCCCTGGGACTTGGCATTGTGTTAGGGGCTGGATTTACGGGGACAGAGGACACGCCAGGGAACCATGAGGTATGCACTCAAGGAAGACAGGGCTCTGCCTCTGTAGTTAGTATATGGGACACAGGGCCCTGCAAGCTGCTTGACTTTAGATGTTGGCGTGGATTGTAGGCATTGGAAGGGCTGTCAGGGACATCAAGCCACCCTTTGATTTCACAGGTAAAGGAAAATAAGGGTCAAGGAATCTACCCAAGGTCACACGGGCAGTTAACAAGGCATATGGCCCTAAAACCCTCATGGAAGGGCCCTTTGCATAGCACCACCCCAAAGAATTTCGGGCAAAGCCATGAAATCAGCTGGGTGCACCACCACGTAACCTTTGTGAAGCCCCTAATGCTGCCAGCCACTCCCTGGGCCAACTGCAAGGACTTGGAAGTGTCCCAAGCTCTCTCCTTGCCCGCTTGTCCTGCCTCGCCTCCTTGTTGCCAATTTTCTCGGATCTCCCAGAGAAAACCTCTTGCCTGTTCTTGCCTATGACCTTGCTTTTCCGCCTCTGATCCTCTGCAATTTCTTCCCACGTGCGTTCCTTTTTCCCCTGTGGTAGTTCTGCTCCTTCCCCTCTGATAGTTCCAGTCCCTTGAGGCCTGGAGAACAGAGATCACAGGGCATCTCCCCCACAAAGCCTTCCGTGGATCATCCGTCTAACTTCCTACCACCTAACACATTTCCCTGAGAGCCAAGCCTCTTGCACCACCAATGTACAAATAATCCCACTGCTCTGTGCTGGGGTTTGAGGACGCGGTTTTCCTGGAGTGTCATGTCAATTCAGTTACCCTCTAGAAGGATTTATTCTCTTAGTCCAGGAAGGGTTTCCCTGGGTCCAGCCAGCAGAGTCCTGTCTAATGGGACTCAGCCTAACCCTCCTGGCGGAGGATGCTCGCTCTTCCTTGCTATGGTTAGCGGGGAGGCTCCCTGGCAGGAGCTCAGGCTCAGATGTCCTGGACACCCAGCTGAACTAAGTCAGGAGCCTGAGCTAACACAGCCCTCTGCAAGCTAACCGCTTGTCATTCCAGCCCAGCTTATATAAGCCTCTCTTGGAAGCCATCCACGACCCAGTCCAGCCCAGGTCCCCCTGTTCTATGCTTACACAGCACCTCTACTCTCTTGTCACTGAACTTACTGAGATGATTTTAATTACAGGAGTTGAGTGCAGTTTCTGCCAGTAGCTGCTGAACTCCGCTCAGAGCGGGGAGTGCGCCTGCCCGCCTCCCATGACAGCCTCAACGACTAGCACAGGACTGCCTCGGGCTCGGTAAATATCTGTCTGATGAATGAATAAATTCATGCTTGCTCTTGTTCGGCTTCGGATGTTTATAAGAAAAGAAAAGAATATGTAATTCATCACAGGAAAGGACAAGAGCTCACTAAGCTTCCTCTCCTGTCCCGCCAGGAGACAATTTGTACTCACAGGTGTCCTTCTAAGTGAGGAAGCCAAGAATGCTTGTGAACATTTCTATTGTGACATCTTCAAGTGGGCTAATCTTTAGTCTCGGCGGCTGCCAGAGACAAGTGGGAGAACAGTATCTATAGTCTTTGAATTACGTTGTTTGTGGCCTTCATATCACGTGGAGGTTAAGAAAGTGGGCCACTCACGTGGGCGGTTGACTTAGCTCTGTGGGCCTCAGTTTTCTCGTCTGCCGTGTGGGGGTAATAACGATCCCGCTTACCTAGGGTTTTGGTGAGCATTACAGAGAGGGAACCTGTAAACTGCGTAGCACACACAGTGCCCCACACATCAAAAGCGTTCAGGAAATGTTAGCTCTCGCTAGTAATCGTTTTCATTAATCCCTTTGGCTTCTGTGCACCTTCGGGGCAGAGGCTCTGTGAAGCTCAGATTCGAGAGAGTAAGGAAGATACTGAGGTAAAGTGGAGGGGTCCCTTGGACCTGGTAATAACCTCTTTGCGAACCCAGGCCCCCCTCACTCTTACCTGGCACAGAGGTGCCAAATGCCACAAAAACGACAGCGGTGACGGAGTCCTTGAGGCCAATGGTGCAGCCAAAGTGGGAGGCCAGGTCCCCGATTATGGCCGTGAGCGTGCCAATGATGAGAATGGACACGACGAAGCAGGCCCAGCCATGGCAGTACTCTGTGGGGGGCACGCAGGCAAACAGCACCTTCCAGAAGACCGTCAGGAAGTGCATGACGTAGTCAAAGCAGGACGGCAGCCGCTCCTCCCCGGACTCATCCTCATCGTCGTCCCCGGCTGCCGACCAGACAAAACAGGCCCCGGGGAAGGGCAGCGAGGTTAGACCCCCCCGTTCAGCAACAAGTCAAGTCAACGCACGCGGCAAGCATTATTAGCTGGCAGGAGACTGCAGCCCTCTCCTGGGCAGTGGCGCGGGCCAGGGCCTGGGCGCCAGACGACGGTGGGGGAACGGGGAACCGAGTGGGGGTGCCCCACTGGTTAATGTGAACGCAGGGCACCCGGGAGGGTGGGAGGGAGAGGACGGGGGGGGGGGGGGAGAGGGAAAGAAGGGGGAAAGAGGGGGGCGGGGGGGGGGGGGGGGGGGGAAACACGGGAAGGACAAGGCCATGAAGCAGAGAGGAGGGGGAAGCAGGCTGCGTCCAGTTGCCCGGGTGAAGAAAAGTGAAATCAGCCGCGTGTCCGCTCTTCACTGGACGAGGGCGGAGCGCCTCCCTAATGTTCCTGACATGCCTGCGGCAATAACCTCCCGGTTCTGGCTGCTATCTGTCCCGGGGCGGGGCGGGGGGCGGTGTGGCTGTCCTTCCAGATCATGTGGGCATACTAGAGACCTAGCGCCATCCTCCCGATAGCCCGTGGGACAGAGCAGGGCTGGGCCCCATTGTCCTTACCAGGAAATGGGGGCCAAGTTGCCCGCTCGGCAGTCCGGGAGGAGAGGGTGTGCTGAGGCCCCCTGGTACCTCGTCCAGGGCCACCTCTGTTATGTTTGACACGATCAGGGGAGGCTAGGGTTTTAAAGAGCAGGAGTTAGGGCGCTTGAGTTCCGGGTGCAGCTTTGCCGGGAAGAGGATTGGTAAGCTGAGGAAAATCACCTCTTATATCTGAGCCTCTGTTCCCTCGCTTGAGAAAGGAGGGGGTTC